ATACTTTCAGGAGACTCCAACAAATTTTTATCAAGTTTACTGGAAACAATGAACACGATCATTGGAAGAGTCTTGATCCTGGAGATTTTTAGACCCTGGAAAACATAAATACTGTTTGGTCCAGGGGCCAAGGCTGAGAGGAGCTGATCATTGTGGTGAGTCCGATTTGTGTTGCAATGTTTTGATAGTGCAGAGAAATCCAAGAGTATCACGGAGGAAATGAGGAGCTAATTTTAACAAGAGAAGTGAAGCAAAAGAGTTAAGAAGAAGTTAAAGAAAATGAGAAAACATAAGAAGTAAATGTAGCTACTACTTACTGTTTAGTTGCAGATCAGTGTTGTGTTCTGTAGTAATTTATTCAACATGTTTACAGAAGTTGGAGCCAACTTCCTTGCCTGTCAGCTGGAGTTAAAGCTAAAGCGTCTCTGCTGTAAATAGGTCAGAGGGGATTTACACTAACATTTGTACCAATTTTACAAAGACAATTAATTCTCAGGGAATAACATCCAAACGCCTCACATATCAGGACTTACGTAACCTCTAAAGTGCTTTCGTGTTCATTTTCAGCATCAGTTTATCCTCTAATTTTCCCTGTGCATACATTAAAAGGCCTCCTGCTTTATTTAGCCCAGTTTCTGCCTGCTCTGTGTCTGTTGGTCTGAGATAAAAACTCCTGAGCTCTGCGTTGTACGCACCAGGCCAGTGGCCTGGAGAGAAAGCCTCCCAAAATGTTCAAATTAATTTATGGTAATGACGGATCAAGCCGGGCCCTGGGCCCGCTGCTGCTACAAGGTGAAGGAAACGGGTCCAGGACGTTGATGGAGGAGCTTCAGGTTTCGGGCAGAAGCATGAGTCAAAGTGTCAAACGTTTTCTGGAAATGTTCTTGGTGACTGTGTGTCCCTAATGAATCATTCAGCGTTTCCATTTCTGGGTGTCAAATTATGAAAATAGATTCTGGAAAGTCTTCCCTCTTACAGCTGAATATTTATCAGTCCTGCAAGAAGAGCATTTCATAAACGCTGCACATCAGGTCCATTTGTTTGTGCTGTGGATCAGCGTGTTACCAAAAACTGATAAACAGATTATGTCACAGACAGAAGCAGGATTTATTTCTGCTGGTCTCAGGCCTTTAACTTCTTTTCTTCACAGAGCAGCTTTCTCCCATCTGATGCTCTGTTTCTTTCTTTGACTGAAAACAGATGCTTGGTGAATGAATCAGCAGTTCATAAATGGTGCAAAGTTAATCAGATGTTTTCTTTGGTACATTTACTTCATGCCATTGAGAATCCACAACTTTTACAAAAACTAAATGTGACATTTACTGTCCCAAAACTCACAGACTTTTCTAAAAACTTTCCAATAACTGCAAAAACTGTCCAATTATTTCATAAAACGTCGAGGCTATTTTCCCAGAACTTACAGATTAATCTCCAGCAAGTTCAAAGATTAATCTCTAAAATTTGTGGTTTAGTATTCAGACCCTTGATAGAACTGAACAGATTCTTGTTCTACATGTTACGTTTCTGGATCTCTGTAGATCCGATGCTTCACTCCTCCAGAATCTCTCCTTATCCGTTTCCTGGATCCACTAAACTGAAAATAACTTCCATGTTCCTGAAAGTCCCAGAACATACATGCATAATAAATTCATTACAAACTTCATCAAACCTGTTTTAGGTATGTATTGTCATTTACATTTTGTTCTGTGTTGAGTAAAGTTATATGAATGCATGTATTATGCATTAATATAATGCATAATACATTATGCATTATATAAGAAGCAGGACTTCTTTAAAACCTTCTTTCTTCCTGTCTTTTGTCTCGTCGTGCTTCAGAAGCACAGTGGGATGTTTTTATACGTCCTTTTCAAATAGACTCTTCTCTTAATTAAAAAGGTCCTGCTGGTTGTGATGTTTATTGTCTTCCTTCTTTATTTTCTGAAGGATCCCCCATCAGAAGGTCATGAATCTTTGTGTTTTTCTCTGAGGTGTGAAACGTGATAAACTCCCAGCTGCTTCTGTTTGTCTCCTCCTCTCTGCAGCTCGTCTTTGTCTTTGCATTATTCAAACTCTCCTTATTTGAACAAATGTTGTACAAGTGCGGCACTTTGCAGCAGCACTGCATATTTCATCCTTTGAGCTGCAGCATGCTGCTCCTCCTGCTGTTTGGTTTAACTGCCTGTCGTCACTCATGAACGATAAAATGTTTCTGTCTGGTTTAGATCACCTGCAGTGGCTGACGCTGCAGTTTGATCTACGTTCAGTTTTTACAGACTCACATGAGACCAGGCTGGTTTTCTGTCAGGTTGCTCTCATTAACATGGCGGTTAAAATGTCAGCGAGGTTATTGAGAGTAGAGGAGGAGTTTCTGTAGCAGGACAGTAAATCAGATCCATTTAAAGCATCAGACCTGCTACTCTAATGCCTCACGATGAATTCCTGGTGTAATGTTAGGAAAAATTAACAATTCACAGGTTGGACCCTGTAGGGGTTTGTTTGAGCTCATAAATTTATCATTTTCACTGTCAGCAGCAATAAAAATCTGTATTTTCATCTCTTCCACATTTTTACATCAGTTAAAATCCGTAAAACTTTATGATGTTTGTCACCAGAGTCAAGAAAGCAGCAGAGCTGAATGAGTGTGTTGCACTGCATTAAAATGGCCTCCATGTTTTCCTCTTCCTCTCTCTGACCTCTTCCTGACTCAAACTAAAATGCCTCAATTTTTAAAGAAACCTGGTTTCCAGGTAGGATTGCGGCCCGCAGCATCATGCTACCTCCAGCCAAAGCAGTTTGGCTCCAGCAGACAGGATTCAGGACGTCTGCCAAGGTCCTTCTGTACCAAATTTAATTATACTGCATAAATATTAGGACATAGGCCACTTTTTATTTTAATGCCTTCCCTCCGATGTCTTGTAAAGTGCTTTGGACGGCCATGAGTATGAATGACTGAATAAATAAACATGAAGTGCCTCCAGCTAACCGACGTTATAAAAGAAGCCATGAAGATTATTAGCAGCAATTGATAAAGTGTCAACAAGGTAGAGGAACATTTTACTCTCTGACATTCAGTCCAGATGAAAAGCAGAACCTGGAGGGTCACAAAGCTGGAGCTGCAGAAATCCACATTTAACTACCAAACAAAATGTTTGCAAACCTGCTGCGTTGTTTGAGCTTTAAAATGTTCCACACTGAAGGTTTCACATCAAGCATGCTCACAACGAGGCCTGAGAAGGATTTCTGCAGAGCTGTTCATTTTCTGTCAACGAGCATCAGGTGAGGAAACCAATCAGCTCAGGGACGCCTGAGTGATTTCTGTTCTCCCCTCTTTAGATTAAAACAGGATTGGAGGAGGCTGTTCATACTCTGACTGAAGAAAAGGTTTTCTTTAGTTCAACCATCCAGATCTGCTCCTGTTGGAACAGGAAGCAGCAGCTGAGCCGCTACTTAGCGGCGCAGTGGAGGATTTATCACCCTGATCTCATCAGGCAGGAGTCGAGCACGGATCGGCACTCAGGATTAGTCGCATGAAACAAAACTTCTGGGTTTTGTTTGAATAATGTTGTTTAAAATAGAACATAAACAGAATTTTTCAGGACGAAAGGGAAAAACGGAAACAGAAGGAAAAAAAAACAACCAAACCTTCAGAGCTGAGGTCAGAAAACTGCAGAAAACAGTTTGTACAAAGGTAAACTTTAAGTTGGATTTTCTTTAGAACATTTCACAACTAAACTCGTATCATTGCTCACAGTTTCAGCTTTTAGTGTCGCTGCTTTCAGTGACTAGAGGAATAATTTGTTAGGTTAAACCAGTCCAGCTGAAAACTGCAGGAACTAAGAAGTTCTTTGGATTCAGTCCATGTTCATCTGTACTGTGAAGAAAACAATATATATATATATATATAATTAACCATTCTTAGTCAGTTTGCATGAATATTTTCTATTTAATTAGCCTCACATGGTTTGTGGTGATCTAATTGTTCCTGGTTTAACTGGTTTAACTGGTTTCCAGTCGGCCTCAGTCGATGTCATATATTATCATAATTTTTTTTCATTGCATCGACTCCTGACAATAACCGTCCATCTGGGACTTCATCTGCTCCCCATTTTGACAATAAATGCAAAACTTTTCAGACTGTTGGACCTTTTGGGACTAATTAATTATCATAAATTAAAGCAAACTGCCCTGTGCCAGTATTTTTAATATAAAAGATGCTTTGTTTACTCCTTTTTATCCTTATTAACCTCTTGGTTTCACACAATTGGTGAAAACAGAAGATTATTCTACTTGAAGCAAAGCTAAATCCCTTTTCTCCACAGGCTTTTGGGGGCACTAACTGTGGATCTGAGCGTTGGAGGAGCAATGAAAAGGTGTGAAATCTGAATTGAGATGCAGCAGCTGCACAGAGCAGCCTCTTCAGCAGAGACACGGGGGAGAGCAGCATTGTTTAAAGGCTTCTGGCCTGTTAAATGAATTCATTTCGCCTGCCGGGGGAAGAGAGATTCTGTCCTTCAACGAACTCCCAGAGGAGCCGAGGATCAGCGGCGAGGGCGGCCGCAAATCAAATGCAAACAAATAAAAACGCCTGTAAAGCGGCTCTTACTTTAGTCTGGCAACAAGGAGGAAGAAAAACAAAAAAACTGAAACTTTATGAAAAGGTTTAAGAGGTGAGTTCAGACTTTTACCATCAAGTTGACTTGATTTATGAACAAAAAATGAAATAAAGATAAGCCACATAATTCTGCACACGTTCAGTTTCTGCTAACGGTTGAGCACATTAGTGAACAGCTGCACATGCAACAGCAAACTATGATCACAATATGTAATCATTTAAAAGACACTGAGAGGCCCTGGCATTAAGGAAGGCATAAAAATAAAGGTCAAGGCATGAAGGCAGTAAGTATGGAAGAGCTTTATTACTCTCTCAAGTCTTTTTGCCGTCATTTAGAAAATTAAAAGTTCATGACATAAAACTTTCACTTCTCTGTCTGATCACTTAACAGCTATAAAAACCATCTCATTCAGGAGGACATTCCATCATTTGCTAAATTTATTTTCCTTTTTTGTTGCTTAATTTAGTCCATGGAGCTGCACAAATATCAAAACATCAATAGTCAAAAATATTCCCAGTGTCATGAATACAGACGCTGCATGGAGGTAAAACTGGAGGATCTGGTTTTTCTGTCAGTTCGGTTCCCAGCTGTGTCTCGTGTTCCCTGAGTAGATTGTGTATTTAATCCCACCTGTTCCCTGATCCTTGTCCTGTTTCATGTCATTGTCTTTGCCAGTCAGTCTGTGTTTGAGTCCTTAGCCTCATTGTTCACTGGTGCTGCCTTGATTTCTGTTCACCTTCATGATTATCGTTAAAATCATCATTTCACACGACTACCTGGGCCCACCGGGTCTGTCCTCACCACTACAACCACAATGCATGACAAAAACATGTGACCCGGATATCGCCCTGAAGATCAAAGAGCAGATATGAAGGCAGAACTGAGAAAAATGTACAATATTTAAAATAAAAATCACAGTAACGTGGTTTCCAACATGCAGTAATGGATACATTAACCCTGTTCCATATGAAGCTCTACTCGTTTGGGCAGTGAGGGGAAGAGTACCCAGAGAGAGCAGGGCAACAATAAATCGTTCATTTATCTGTACTACATGTCAAAAAGCCGTCAGGAATCTCTCACTGTCGTTCTGAGTTCCTGCAGGAGGAGGAAGGAGTAAAAATATGAAGTCTGAACTTGTAATCTCTTAGAACGAAACGTGATCAACACCTTCAGTAAAGCTCTTTCTATCACCTTCTGGTATCAAACGCCCATCAAGCAAATTACTTCTGAGCTGTAGAGTCTATCACCTTGGCAGAGGAAAGGCTTTGATGCTCACTGATGTTTCTCTGCTGCAGAGGCAGCAGGTCATAATCCTGGCTTTTCTTTAAAAATACATGTTTTTTTTTCTATTTTTTAGTCTCAATCAATGCAGTTTCCTGATTTTATTTCTGTTTGTTTTCCGCTGTGGCCGCTCGCTGTGTGGCGGTTCGCTGCTATAAACAGCTCACCGTGAGGAGTCTGTGGGTAACTGAACTGCTTCGCTGCTGCTGAACAGCAGGAGGTTCATGCAGAAGTACGAGCTTCCCGATTGGTCAGAGGATTCATAACTCGGATGGTGGCCGACGCCATGAAAGGAAAAGAAACCAGCGTGTTGATCTGGAGAGGCGCCAGGACTCACAGAAACTGTTGAAAAGGTCATTTAAGATGGAAAACAAAAGGTCAGATCTTAAAGTAATAAAGACTGAGATATTCATGGAAACAGGCTGAACTTTATGTTCTAGATTAGATCCTACACAACGTTCAATTTTAATGAAAAACAGAGATCAGCCAAAAAACACTGTATAAAGTTTTTTTTGTTTCATTGAAGAGTATGGGATTTATTAAGACATAATTAAAATATTCAAATGTTTTAATTTGAATGTTTTACGTTCAAATTTGAATATATCAGCTTCTATTTTGAGTTTTATATACATTCATCTACACCTTTTGAAAATAAACTAAACATACTTTTCATTAAACCCACATTTCTTTTTTAGTCTGAGGTGATATAATTTTAAATGTCACGATGTTTTAAGCAGAAAATCGAGATTAAAACAGAAAGAAAGGCTTTCAAGTATGCGTCTGTGTGTAATTAATTTGTCTGTTTCACTTGGTAAAAGTTCCTGAAATAAATGGATTTTTTAATGATATTCTAATTTATTGAACGGTTCTGTAGACACACATCTCAGTCCAGTTGAGAGACATGCAGTCTTTATTCTTATTGGAGAAATTCATTCATTCAGTTGGAGAGAAAAAACAAACCGAGTGTGTTGCTGCTGTTTCACTTGATGGATCGTAAAACGAGCAGATGAGCAGCAGATCCAGGCTTTGTGCCGTTTGTCTGCAGAAACAATGATGGAAACCGTCCAGCTGCAGGTCTGATGAAGCCACAGTGCAGATCAGGACGGAAACCTTTACATCCATAAAGGATGCCTTAATGCAGTGTTGATCGCTGCAGGAGTTTTAATCTTGATAAATGAGTGTTTAATCTGAGGTTGTATTTATTTCCGTCACTGCTGCTGCTTTTACATGTGTGTCGAAGTCTAACTGTGTCAATCAACTGCGTGCTGCATCTGTCTCCTTCCTGATCCCCTCACAGCGGGACGCGGCGTAATGTCACTGCTGATATCACCTGCATGACAGTTCACACACTTTCACACATACAGCCTTGCTGTGGAGAGCAGACTTTTCACACATCCATAAATGTATATCTGCACCAACAGACGGCTGCAGAGGCGGCTCTGCCTGCTGAGGTCAGGTCTCAGTGAGCGGTCTGCTAATTGCTTGTTCAGGGACAGTTTACTGGAGAGTCGGTTAAAGCAGGATGTTATGACCCAGAAAGCTGCTGCACCTCCTGCGGTGTGAAAAAAAAAAAGAAATATTCTCACCAGTTCCTCTAAGAGCTAAAAGCTCTGCTAGAGACGTAGGATGCATTCACACCCGTCCTCTTTAGTCCGCTTTAATCAGACTCTGGTCCATTTACCTTGAAAGTCCAGTTTGTTTGCAAAGGTTTGAATGTGGAATCAAAGTTTGGTCCACCTAAAAACTTCAGTCTCAATGAACGGCAATTAAACTGGAGACCGCTCCAAAAGCTGGAAGTGGACTATAGCGCAAGGCATTCTGGGTAAATACAACCAAAACAAACCCACGAGACGACTGCTAGCTCATGGCCTTTTACCAAAGACAGAAGAGAAACTCTCTAATTTCTAAACTCTGATGCTACTCCATTTTTGTTTACATTTTGTGAAAAAGGATTTTGCACTGAGTCTTCAGAGGTTTTCATGTCATTTCCTTCGGTGGTTCTTTGCACAGCGCCCCCACAGGCCAGGAGGGGAACAAGTTGCTCAAAGGGTTTTATTCATTTCACACCGTTTAGTGTGAAAGAGAAACACAGCAGCTGAAAATGTAACAAATGATGCAGTTTTGATCTCCAAGCTGCAGGTGTGAAAACGCCTGTAGAGACAGAACGATATCAGTGAGGTGTTATATGTGGAGCTTTGCCAAATCAATGTTGGCTTGTGTGTTTTTTCAGAGGTTATAAAGTTACTCGTGGAGTTACTGCTGTTCCAGTTATTTTTATTTTAATGTCATTATCGTCCTTGATCCCATGGTGCTCCACTGCTCTGCTGACCACTGATTGCTTGGTCATAAATGTGGCCCATGTCGTAAATCTGTCAGAGCGTTGTGTGTCTGATGTCCTGGTTGCGTACCTGACCCGTTTCCTGCCTCCTGTCCGTCATATCTGCCTGCTCCCTGATTGCTTTTCGAGTTTCTCTGCCTGTGACTGTTTGGGACACGAAGATGAGAAGAAGAGAGTCACTAGTCCTGTTTAGTGCCTGATCCGCTGGATTGTTTAAAAACTATCCAGAAAATCTTTGAATATTTTTTTTTTCATTCATAGCAGCATCATACCTTTGAGGATTTGTTTTTTTGTGCGTCAGTTTAGTTCCTGTTTGGTCTGTCTGCCCCGATTGCTCCCAGCTGTGTTCCCTGCTCCCTGTTGGATCCTTGTCTCTACTGTCTAGTTGTCTTACGTAGTTTTGTTGTCTACCAGCGTTTGAGTTCCTTTCCTTTATGCTCACCTGTGCTGTCAGGACTTCTCTGTGCTCATTGTTAAACTACCGTTGTCCTCCATAACCTGGATTTTTGTTTGATGAAACAGTAAAGAGAGAGAGGAGTCTCCCATTCCCCTGCAGCCGGGTTGCATCGCTGCTCTGGGTGGATCTCATTAATGCAGAGATTGTAACGCAGCTTGTTGTGTCCTCCTGTTGTCCAGGGACACCAGTCCTCCTTTTATCAAGACAAAATCACATTCTGTAGTTATTCCAAAGGCTGATGAAGAGGAGTCTATGGTGCCCGGCTGCAGGTCCGACCCGCCTGGTTGAAACCTGAAGGCACAGAAAGGAACTTCATGTTTCTTTTTGACTGCTCTTATCTTTAAATTCTGTTTTATTTTCACCTCATCTGAATGTGTAAGATGCTGGTTTCCCTGCAGAGGAAACCGATGAAAGTAAAGAATCATCAAAATTCTGTTGGTTTTCTTCAGAACAAACAAGCAGAAAATAAAATCCTCTGCTGGTCCTAAACAAACATCAGACCTTCAGCCTTCTGTTGATTCTCTTCCATCCATCTGTTTCTCTGCTAAAGCTCAGAGGAACCACGCTGTATGCTGATCCAAACCTTTACTTACATCCAGCATGTCCCCACCAATCTGAGTTAGCTGCAGCCCCGTCAGAACTGCAGGGAGGATCTGTCAGACGTTGATGTTAACGGTCACTGTAATGGGATCAGATCTGCTGAGCTTTAGATGGATGTGCATTAAAGCATCTTACATTCAGGCAGCTGCAATTACACTAAAGAGGCAGATAAGAATCCGGCTCCTACCAACTGGGTCTTGACAGGAAAATGAGTCAAGAGCAAACCGAGGCCGAGATTCAGAGGGCGATCGATGACGATGGGCAGAGGAAGGCTTTTAGACAGAAACATTAAGTCATTTCTCCCCTTTGAGCACCAGAAATACCTACTTTACACAGATTTAGTGCAAAAAGAACCATAGTAGGCTTTCAGTTGCTTTAATTATCCATCCGTCAATTGTCTCCTGTTTACAGGGAGAAAATCCTTTCCACAACATCATCCAAAAAC